GATGTATGGGGGCGGCTGGTGGTACAACAGTTGCCAGGCGGCCAACCTCAATGGCATTTATTACCTGGGGGGCCACTATGACCCCAGGTACAACATCCCTTATGAGATCGAAAATGGTGTAGTCTGGCTGCCATTTAGAGCCTCTGACTATTCACTCAAAATTGTTAGAATGAAAATCAAGCCCATAGAAACCCTGTAGAAAGACAGGCTTTTAATATATACGTTATGACTACAAGTTGAAAAGATTTTTTTATACATATATGTGCAAGGTGTACCTTTACTCTGGGAATTTGAAGGCAACTGGGCACATCTGTGGCTTAAAAAATAAACGCTGATTAATTAACAACAAAACAGTTCTTTCATCTTATTTATAACCAACAAACCTTTTCAAGAAAACATTGATTTAAATCCCCTTTTTATATAAACTTTGTGTATGTCTTTGACTACGTCTTTGTCTATGTCTTTGGCAGCTCACACCTTGACTGGAGATAAAAATATTTATAATCTGAATCAGTTAACACTTTGTTAGGAGTGTTAAAGAAGTAAAAGAATTTAGAAGTACATTCACCATGAACTGCCTCCAGTAACACGAACCGTGAAAGTCTGATTGAGTTTGACGGTCACACTTCTGGGCTGTCTCCTCTTATTTCCATTTCGAGGGGAGCACAACAGTGGTGGGAGTCAGTTCTCAGGCAGAGCCATGGGTAGTTTGGGTTTTCACTTTTGCCACACTCCTAACACAGAGTACACTTTGATAAATGATGCATGCATTTTAGGACTGACTTTTAAGGATCTCCTAAGCTTTTATTTTACAAATACGGAGGTAGACCTTCTGTCCCATTGATGAATTCTACTTTGTCATGCATATTGTAGCTTCAAAATAAGACAGTTCATGATAACTCATCAAAATACAACTCCCCAAACAGGTTATTATTTTCTAGTGACCAATAAAAGTTTATGACTGTAACCAGCATAAGTTAGATGAGGAGCACCTGGATGGCTATAGTACATATTTCCTTGGTTTAGAATGTTTCTTGGCACGTGTCAAGCAAGGATTCTTCTATAGATGAGGGGTTTAAATCAGCAGCTTGCTGACAGTGTGTGGTAAGGGTTTTTTTTAGCAAAAAGCTGGCTGCGTGGAAAACCAGTTATATTGGTTACACAATTGCACAAGAACATGCTGTATTTACCTTTATACCTTATGTGCAACTACACAAGTATTCAGTCTTTTTAATATTTCTGTGCTTCTACTGAGAAACAAGTGTGAGCAAACTTCCTTGCCTCCGATCTCACTGGCCAGCATGTTTCATACCACTTAACAAGATCATCAAATAATAGCAAACCAGCTCACTTTTAGCCTTTTTTCAGTGCTTCTCAAACACAGCCACTATCTAACCTTTTTGGAGAGTTTGCTGAAGAGCAGAGACATCTTTATAGCCATGTGCGGTGAAGTGTCTGTGCTTTTGGAAAAGGGGCTTCTGCTTTATGCTTTGTGGTTTTTTATTCCCTAGCCTCAATGGAAGCCTACCTATGGGGATGCTGAATATTTGCGCTCATGAGTGAGATGCTACCATGGTGTCTCCTCGTTGTCCTCCTGGACTCCACAGATTAAATCAACATGAAAAGGTTCAGATGGAATCCATCTACTGCTAGTGATCTGAGTCCCTTCTTTTGTGGAGAAAGGCAGTCCCCTCTGAGAGATGTTTGATCCTGCCTACCAGGGTTGGGAAGTCCTCTCTTTGGGGCAACGTCTGCTCCTGGCTACAGAGGGAGTCTAGACTACTGGCTTTGATGAAATACCCAACCTCCACCTACCCTATGATTTGAGTCACTCATTGCTCTAGTCCCATGATAGTGATCGTGTGAAAGACGTACCAGACAGGTCTCCTAATACAGTATTTTATTCTATGATAAAAGGATGTGCAATGGTGGGAGGGATATTAAGAGGCACAGTATGTGAGCTAGGTCCCAGGAAAGGGTAGATTTTATCCAGCATACAGGATTTTAACTAAGTGACTGATGACCTACCCATTTGTTAGATACTATCTTTTCACTTTATTCCTTCTCAACTTCTTACCAAGGTAGTTACCATCATCTTTATAATATAAAAGAAAGTGACTGTCCCTTATTTAGTGGAATGTGTTTTGCTTCTCCCCAGATAATGGATAAATACTTAGGAATCATGTGAAGAAAACTTTAGTTTTAAGGCTTTATTTAATTTTTAGAAAACATTTTTAAAAATCCTCTCTGTCTTCAAATGTGGTATAGAAATCCTCTGTAAAAGAGTGAAACAAGTGGGGTTTGGAGTTTTTTTTAATCAGCGTTATTCTATAATAGTTACTTCTGTCTTGTGAACAAATGAAAAATGGAACAAAACACACTTGTGAGTTATTTTCATTGGTCAGATTTTGATTTACAGTTGACCTAGCTTTTCAGGTCACAATATGCTCATACATACATATTTGGTTCTCACATGCAAAGACAAGCCTGAATACCATGGCTAAAAAGACACCTACGTAGGAATATTAAAAGAAAATCCCTGATTTTGTACATTTTGATAATGGTTACTGTGGAAAGTATGGCCTGATTTTCATGCTCATCTTCTTCATTGAATACCATGACCCTTTCCAGTTCATCCATACAACACCATCATCTGTACCATGTTTTGCCATATCCCAGCTGTAGGTTCCTCCCCAATAGTATCTGCCGTTGGGGTTCGCTGAGTGGCAGCGGTTGTACCACCATCCACCACCATCTTCTTTGGAGCACTGTTTTCTTGGATCTGCAGTTATCCTGATGAGAGGGAAAAAAGTGTCGAGAGTGACAGATGAACTGTAAGCAAACAGATCCACAGAGTACATTACATACACCTGCCCCTGTACTGAAATTTTCAAAATAATAAACATCTAAAATCCTCTCTGAACTTTCTGTAAAAGATTGCTCATCACAACTATGTGCTACACAGTGCACTTGGAAGGTGAAGCAACTGAGAAAACCAAGTCAAATTTCAGCTGTATCTCTTTGGGAATGTCATTTTAGTTTACTGATTGATTACAATACGATTACTTGCAGTTCATAATGATAATTCCAATATCAATGCGATTTAAAGATATAAAACAATGAGAAATGTATGTCTTCCCCAATCTAAACAATTCTTTTATTCATTAATACATAATCAGGTATTAAGATAAAGAAGTAGCACAGAGTTTAGAGATACAGTGCTAAATTATGTACTTTACAGTTGAGCTCCTGTCTTCTGAGTAGGCAGATTTATATTTGTTTTTTAAATAGGACACGCTACCTATTTCTTTCCTCAGGTCCCATTATGTGTTACTGGAGTAAGTACCAATATTCTTACTTAAGCAAGACAGTGTCCTTGGCACTGCCACCATCAGTCTCAAATTTGCTTATTTGTCTATGGTAATGTCATCCATGGAATCAATAAAATTCAGCATGCTTGCTTCTTACTTGGTTGTGGAGCAGCACTAACCAAATATATAATTTTACCTGCCCTTGGCTACACCAAAACTGCATGGACATTTGGCTGGTAACTTGCAGTGATGAAAGATATTTTAAGATACTACAAAATGCTGTGAAAACTACCAGCAAATTAAAGGAATATTCTATATTCAGCTCTGTTTTAAGCTATATTTTTATCTTATATATCTAATGCAAGTACGTACCATCCATCATTGTCTCTGTCATAAGTACTGAAGAACATGCCATTGTGAATTGTCATTGTCCTGTTTTCTCCGTGCACCTGCAAAGCTCCTTCCATTAGCGCGTTGCCTGCATTGCCTTTGTAGTTACTAACTGAAAGTTGATATTTGTTTCCTTCATTCTGTACGGTGAAACCTCCATAACGAGCTGATACTTTATCACCATTCCAGTCCTCCATTTCAATTAGAACTTCAGTGGGCCCTATTTTGGTAAGCTGGCTGATCTTGTCATTTCCAAGCCAATATTCACCTGCGAAGCAACAAGTGAGAGCTCTGTGAAACAGACTTCACAATATACTTCAAGGCAACTTTTTGCCTATAGGTCTGATGAAGTGGATTAGTTAATTTTAAAAAATCAAAGAGCTTCAAAAAATTTGAGAAAACAATTTCAGTAAGAAGACCTCTTTGTATTTCATGCTCAGTGTTTTACCTGGTGTATCACAGTAGTTCTTCCCTCCACTCTTTGCAACATTTCCAAATCCTTTTTTATAATGATCCCATACTCTTCCAAAATTAACACTGCCATCCTGGCGGTTCTGAATCAAAGTCCAGCCTGCAGGAGCAAAAGTATTTAGATTAAGTTGCCATTAAAAAAGAAGCATTAAACATTAAGATTCAGCCTTTTTATCTTCATCTGAAGACAAGCAAAGCATATGGCTTCCTTGCAGCATGTCTGAGTTTTCACTGCTTACGAGCTCAGCTTTGCCATTTTTACACTTAAGTAGCACCTTGCTACTAAGGAAAGGTGGAAAAAGTGGAACTTGAAGGACTGCCCCGGTCTTTTGTCTAGCAGGGTAAGAAATGAGCCAGGCCATCCTTGTCTGTCCACCCATACATTGTCCATTCTAGTCATACTAAGATATATTTTTATTTACCAATCCTATTCCAGCAATTTATTTCTAGTTTCATTATAGAAATATCCTACTGTGCATCTGACGATGATCAACAAGACTTCTCTGAACCCATCAATCAGACTTGATTCTCAAGTAATTACAAAAGTTATAACTCCATATTAGTTTCTATAAAATGCAAATTACTAATACGATTTTTTTGTAGCATCCATATTAATATTTTAACAACACAGTTATTTCACACTAACCTCCATTGTCTGTTTGCATGTCACAGTATACTCTGTATGGTTTGACAAAAGGATCTGTCTGGATGAGGTACATTTCAGATACCTCACCTCCCTTTCTGAAAATATCCTCACATTCTGCAAGAACAAACCGGAGACTCTGTTACTGAAAGAGCTGTGAACTTCTTCACCTATCTTCTTATCCCTTGGTTTGCTGATTATAAGGGAACAATTTTAAATATAGACATAATTTTACTTTCATTTTGATTTCTGTGATACATCATGTGAAGGAATCAGGGAAGGAAGAACAGTGCACCTGCATTGATCTACTTTTCCGAACAGGAATTTCTAAAAGTTTAAACTGCGTCATGGAACACTGTATACTTTCCAATGACTTCTTGAACTAGACAAGCTTGTGAAAGAAGAACCTTTCTTCACTGAAAAAAATCAAGGGTACAACTATGATAGTCACAAATTTATCACCTCTACCTTACAAAGACCCTGAAACACATTTCTTTAAAATGCTACTGGCCACTAATGAA